GCTTTTTTACAGTAATTTTTTTTTATTTATTAATCATTTTCTTATATATTTATAAAATAATAATTAATTAAAACATTATGTTATTGATTTAATTATTTACATTACAAAAATATTTTCCTATAATTGTTCTTACATTTCGTTACATTTAAAATTTTCATAACTCTTTCTTATTGTATTAAGATAATTTTTTCACACTTTACACCAATTGATACGAATTTTATGTTTTCTCTCACATGTTTAAGTTACCAAAAAAATTTTATTGTAATTTATTTGATACACCAATTGATACGAATTTTACGTTTTCTCTCGCATGTTTAAGTTACCAAAAAAATTTTATTGTAATTTATTTGATATTTTTGTTATACATTTACATGAAAAATAATTAATTAAAATTTTACATTACAGCTTAATTATTCAGTTACAATAATATTTTCGTATAGTTGTTCTTACATTATAATAAGTTTATAATTGTCATAACTCTTTTTTATTATGTTATGACACTTATTACTTATTTTACGTCAAATTATACAAATTTTATACTTTTTCTCACTTATTTTGTTAACTATTTGGTTTTTTTAAATTTTAGTTTTTTTCCTTATATATTTACTAAGACAATAATTAATTTAAATTTTACATTATTAACCTAATCATTTATGTTACAATAATATTTTCTTACAGTTGTTCTTACCTCATTACATTTAGAATTGTTATAACTCTTTCTTAATGTATGTTACAACACTTTTTACTCATTTTACGCCAAATGATACAAATTTTACAATTTTCTCACTTGTTTACATTACCTATTTATTTTTTAATTTTTAACTATATATATACAAAAAATAATAATTAATTGAAATTTTATGCTACCTAGTTAATTATTTATATTACAATAATATTTTCTTACAGTTGTTCTTATTTTTCATTATGTTTAGAATTGTTATAACTCTTTTTAGTGTGTTATGACATATTTTATCCATTTTACATTAAATGATACAAATTTTATGTTTTTTTCACTTGCTTACATTACCTTTTTTTTTTTAATTTTTAACTATTTTATTATATATTTATAAAAAAATAATCAATTAAAAGTTTATGTTATCTACTTAATTATTTATGTTACAATAATATTTTCTTACGTTTATTCTTATATTATATTGTGTTTAGAATTATCTTAACTCTTTCTCATCAATTTTACGTCAAATAATATAAATTTTATATTTTTTCTTACTTGTTTATGTTATCTATTTGTTTTGTAATTATTAGTTATTTTTCTTATATATTTATAAAATCAATAATTAATTAAAATTTTATGTTGTTTACTTAAATATTTACATTACAATAATATATTCTTATAGCTGTTCTTACTTTTTATTACGTTTAGAAGTACCATAACTCTTACTTAGTGTGTTACGACACTTTTTTATCAATTTTATGGCAAATGATACTAATTTTATATTTCTTCTCATTTGTTTAGCTTACCAATTTATCTTTAAATTTTTAGCTATTTTCTTACCATACAATAACAATAATTAATTAAAACTTTACATTGTCATCATAATTATTTATATTACAATAATATATTTTTTATGATTGCTCTTACTTTTCAATACATTTAAAATTCTTATAATTTTTTTAGTGTGTTATAATACTTTTTACCCATTTTATTCTAAATGATATTACTTTTACGTTATTTCTCGCTTGTTTACATTATCAATTTCTTTTCTAATTTTTAGCTATTTTCTTATATATTTACATGAACAATAATTAATTAAAACTTTATGTTATCAACATAATTATTTACTTTACAATAATATTTTCTTATGGTTGTTTTTATTTTTTATTATGTTTGAATTGTTATAACTTTTTTTAATGTGTCACGACACTTTTTATTCATTTTATGCCAAATGATACTAATTTTATGTTAGTTTTCACGTGTTTACGTTACCAACTTATTTTTATTTCTAGTTATTTTCCTTAAATATTTGCAAAACAATAATTAATTAAAAATTTTCTTTACTAATATAATTATTTACATTACAATAATATATTATTACGATTGTTCTTAATTTCATTACATTTAGAATAATCATAACTTTTTTTAATGAATTAACTATTAAGACAATTCTTACCTAGTTTACATTAAATGTTACTTTTTACGTTTTTCTCACTTGTTTATATTACCAATATGTTTTTTAATTTTTAATTATTTTTCTTATATATTTACAAAAAATAATTAATTAAAATTTTATATTTGTAACTTAATTATTTATGTTACAATAATTTCTTTTCATAATTGTTCTTACCTTTAATTACGTTTGGAATCATCGTAACTTTTTTTTAGTGTATTGTGACACTTTTTAGCCATTTTACGTTAAATTATATTAATTTTGTGTTTTTCTCACTTTTTACAGTACCTTTTTATTTTTCAATTTTTAGCTATTTTCTTTATATATTTAAAAAATAATAATTAGTTAAATTTTACATTATAATATAGTCATTTATGTTACAATAATATATTCTTAGTATTATTCTTATTTTCATTACATTTAAAATTTTTATAACTCTTTCTTAATATGATATGAAACTTTTACTCATTTTATGCCAAATAATATTACTTTTACGTTTTTCTCACTTGTTTATGGTATCAATTTATTTTTTATTTCTAACTATTTTCTTTATATATATATAAAAACAATAGTTAATTAAAATTTTGTATTGCCATATAATTATTTATATTATAATAATATATTTTTATGATTGTTCTTATTTTCCATTACATTTAAAATTTTCATAGCTTTTTCTTAGTATATTATGACCCTTCTTATCCATTTTATATTAAATGATACTAATTTTACATTTTTCACTTGTTTACATTATTAATTTATTTTTTTAATTTTTAGCTATTTTTCTTGCATATTTATAAGAATAATAATTAATTAAAATTTTATGATGTCAATATAATTATTTACATTACAATAATGGTTTCTTATGATTATTTTTACTTTTCATTATATTAAGAATTGTTATAATTTCTTCTTAATGTGTTATGACACTTTTTACCTATTTTACTTTAAATGTTACAAATTTTACATTTGTGCTCTCTTGTTTATATTACCAATTTATTTTTTAATTTCTCGCTATTTTCTTTAAATATTTTCAAAACAATAATTAATTAAAATTTTACTTTACTAATATAATTATTTATGTTATAATAATATATGTTGATAGTTGTTCTTCCTTTTAATTACGTTTAGAACTGTCATAACTCTTTTTGGTATATTACAACAATTCATATACAATTTATGCTAAATGATACTAATATTATGTTTCTTCTAACTTGTTTAAGTTACAAATATGTTTTTTTTTTTTTAATTTTTAGCTATTTTACTTTTATATTTTAAAAAATAATTAATTAAAAATTTAAGTTTGTTATTTTGTTATTTATGTTACAATAATTTTTTTTTATCAATTTTCTTATATTTAATTATGTTTAAAATTATAATAGCTCTTTCTTAGTGTGTTATGATACTTTTTATCAATTTTATACTAAATCATACTCATTTTATGTGTTTTTTTACTTTTTTACATTACTTTTTTATTTTTTAATTTTTAGCTATTTTCTTTATATATTTTTAAAAAATAATAATTAGTTAAAATTTTATATTGTCAACATAATTATTTGTATTACAATATTATTTTTTTACGATAGGCTTTATCTTTCATTATATTTAGAATTGTCATAATCTTTTCTTAGTGTATTACGATATTTTTTACTAATTTTACTTCAAATTATACTAATTTTATATTTCTTTCCCCTTGTTTACATTAGTAATTTATTTTTTAATTTATAGCTATTTTCATTGTATATACAAAACAATAATTAATTAAAATTTTACATTGTCATCATAATTATTTATGTTATAATAATATATTTTTACATTTGTTGTTACTTTTCAATACATTTAGAATTATCATAATTTCTTTTTAGTATATTATGATACCTTTTATCCATTTTATATTAAATGATATTAATATTATATTTCTTTTCATCTATTTATGCCATTTATATTTCTTTTAGTTATTGGATTTTTTATATATTTATAGGAATAATAATTAATTAAAATTTAAGTTATCAACTTAATTATTTATATTTCAATAATATTTTTTTATAATTATTTTTATATTTCATTACGTTTAGAATTTTTGTAATTTTTTTAAAGTGTTATGACACTTTTAATATATTTTACAATAAATGATATAAATTTTATGATTTTTTTGTATTGCGTTAATAAATTTTTATTAATTTTTTATTTTAAAATGTTATTTCTTTTATATTATTTCTTATCCTTAAAAATATTTTAATATGTTATTTATTTATAAAAAAATTAATTTAAATTTTATATTGTTAACCAAATTATTTACAACAAATAATTGTTCTAACAATTTTTCTTATATTCAATTATATTTAAAATTTTTATAACTCATTTTTAGCGGGTTATGATATTTTTATCTAATTTTAAATTGATATAAATTTTATTATTTCCCTCATGTTAATAATTTTTTTTTATTTTGAAATATAAATTCTTTTAAGTTAATTTTTTTCTTTTAAAAAATTTTATATTAATATTTTTTATTTCTTTAGAATTATTTTTTATTTTATGATACTTTTAGCTATTTTTTAAAATACTAATTAAATTAAATTTTTTTAAAAAAGAATATTTTTAATTATTATTTTATTTTTAATTTTTAAGTAATTTCATAAATATATAATAAAGTGAAGTAAAAAACTATTATATAAAGTAAAAATTATTTAAATTTTATAAATTTTAGCCTGTTCGTGTGATACCCTACTTGTTCAGCCTTTTATTTTATTTTATTTGTTTTATTTTTTCTTTGAACAAGATCCTCCGTTTATCTTTTCTCTTCCAATTTTCCAGCTTTCTTTTTTTTAAAGAAAAAAAAAATATATATATATATTTTTTTTTTTGCTTTAAACGAAACTCACCTTTTTGTTTTTTCTCTTTTGAAAAATAAGATGGGAAAGAGATAGGTAGGAATTAGTAATGTAAATTTTTTAAAAAACATTTTTCCTTTCTTTTATTTGTTTTCTAATTGATGGTGCCATGGTGATGAAAAAGAATAAGAATGATTTGACAATGAAAAATGCTTTGGTGGTGATTAGACGGAAAAAAAATCTTGTGAAGAGAACAGGCTAAGGGAGAAGTGAGAAAGAAAAACTAAAAGGGCGTTCTTGGTACTGATAGCCAGGTCGAATGGTTTCGTATGACAATCGACGTAGGTTCTCACACGGCTTACAAACCATCGAATGAGGAAGAAAGAAGGATTTAGTCTTTGTTCTCAACAATCGAACGGGTAGCTTCACTCGCTGTAAAGTGAGCATTTTTTTTTTGTTTTCTCTCATTTCATTTTCTCTTTCGATTTATAATGAGGGATTTTAGTTTTCATATTTTCATTTTTTTTGTGAAATCTTGCTTATTTTTACTTATATTGAATATAATATTTGATAGGTTAATCTAATTTATGTTTGGATTTGTTACAGATATTAATATAGGTGTTAAATATATTTTTCATGTATTTAAAATATTTAATCTTATATACTTCTGTTTATTTAACAAGTTTTTTTTTTTCATTTTGATGATATTTTTTCGCTTTTGTAGAGAACCCACAAGTCTTTGATGCAAGTTTTTAATTTTATGTTTTGATTCTTTTGTCTTTATTTCATTCAATTAGGTGTAGTGATACTTATATGTTTTTAATCCTGACTTACTTATTGCCTTATTTCATCTCATATTCTGTCAAACAATCTTCGCTTATATAAAATAATGTGATTTTATCATTTAGTAGTTACTGTTGGAGATTCAAAGTATTTTTCTTTGTTTTGCAATTTACTATTGCTACTATTAAGCTTTGATGATACAGTGATATTTTTGTGGGTGAGATCTTTATTTATAGTATTTATAGTATTCTTTTAATATTACTTAGCATGTTGATGTTGGTTGGTTATTTACTAACTCAATGTCAATGTTTGCTATTGATTAAGTATTTTAATTTGCTTTGTAGCCAAAAGAATAAATAAATAAAATTGGTGCACAGTAATCAAGTGCAGTTTATTGTTTGCATGTTGAACATTTTCTTGATTTTGAGTTAATTTTTCCACTTATTTTGCATTTATTTTTATAGATCTAGTATGTGGTTTTTCTACTTGAAAAGGTGAAGAGAATGGTGAGGAATAGCTACAAAGTGTTAAAAGATAATGAAGACGGATACCTACAAACTCTTTATGTTTTTTAGTTGTAGGAAAGCTTTTTCTTTTTATTTTTATATATTGTCAAAACTCGTATTTTAAAGTGGATATATATGTGTATATATATATATATATCAAATCAAGTTAGATAGATGGGAAAAAGTTAAAGATGGATTAGATTTTCCATTCTTGGTTTTGATTCTTAGTATTTTGACCTTATGGAAGGGTTGTGAATCAAAGAAGAGTTTTGTTTTGTTTCATTTGTGACTTCAAAAGAAGCACAATGCGCTCTGTAGACCACAACTAATAATATATTATGATTCTATACCCTGCAGTTTGCATAATAGAATAGGGAAAAGTTCAAGGTCAAACTCAGTCCAGCTAGGGTTGTCCATAAGTGTGTAGAAAGAAATGATTTGGCTCCGGTCCGCTCTTGTAGTAGGGAGAAGAAAGAACGGTGCGCTGATTTGTGGTTTAGGGGTAATGGAGAATGAGAGAGAGTTGGGTTGCTTACTAAAGTGCTGCTCTAACCTGAAACATGTTGAGCAGGCACATGGATTCATGGTACGGAGAGCCCTCGATCACAATAAGTTTATTCTCAGCCAATTTATCAAGACATGCTTTTCTCTGGGCTTCTCGGACTATGCCTATTTTGTGTTTGCCTTCAGTGCCCAAACCCGCAGCCACATATATGTGTTCAACACCATGATCAAGGTGCTGACACTTTCTCACTCTGCTTTTGAGGCATTCCTTGTTTATAAAAGCATTGGCTCGGCCAATCTGCAACCCGACAGTTACTCCTTCCCGTTTGTGTTGAAGGCAGTTGTTGATCTCCAGGCCCTCCATTTGGGAACTCAGATTCACTGTCAAACTATATGCGCCGGACTTGACTCCAATATTCATGTGATCTCAGCACTCATTCAAATGTATTCCTCGTGTGCTTGCATTTTGGGTGCTCGCAAGCTGTTCGACCATGCTTGTCTCAACCTTGTCTCTATGGACGACTTTGCCATTTGGAATGCCATGATTGCTGGATATGCCAAGGTTGGCGACCCAGACACTGCTTGGGGTTTGCTGGAGCGCATGCCTCAAACTCAAACCAATGCAGTACTTATTTGTTGGACAGCTGTGATTGCAGGCTACGCTCAAATGGACCATCCCAACGAGGCCATCGCTGTATTTCGTAGAATGCAGTTGGAGAATGTGAAGCCTGACGAAATCGCAATGTTGGCTGTGCTTTCTGCTTGTGCCCATTTTGGTGCCATTCAAGTTAAATTCGGAGAGTGCATTCATGGCTATATTCATAAACGTGGTTTCTACCAAATGGTTCCCCTTCAAAATGCGCTTATTGAAATGTATGCCAAGTCAGGCAATATATGCAAGGCATTGCAAGTATTTGAGAACATGAACCATAAAACTGTCATAACTTGGACTACCATCGTATCTGCGTTGGCATTCCACGGACTTGGAACACAAGCTCTCCACATGTTCTCTCGGATGGAAACGGCTGAAGTTAAGCCAAATGATATCACTTTCATAGCCATCCTTTCTGCTTGTACTCATGTTGGATTGGTTGATTTGGGTCGCTACTATTTCAATACTATGCAATCCAAGTATGGGGTTCAACCCAAGATTCAGCACTATGGTTGCTTAATTGATTTATTCGGGCGAGCAGGATACCTAGAAGAAGCACTGGAACTAGTTAGTCAGATGCCCTTTAAGCCAAATGCAGCTATCTGGGGGTCTCTTCTTGCTGCCTCTAATATTCATGCTGATGCTGAGCTGGGAGAGTTTGCTTTGCTGCATTTGATAAAGTTGGAGCCTTGGAATAGTGGGAACTATGCACTTTTATCCAATATATATGCTTCTGCTGGCAGGTGGGACAAGTCTGTAATGACAAGGAAGATGATGAGGGACAAAGGTGTTCGAAAGATGCCGGGTTGGAGTTTCATTCAGGTGAGTGATAGAGCTCATCAATTCATTGCAGGAGACACATCACACCCCCAGTTTGATAGCATACATGGAATCCTATTCAACATAAATGAGCAGATGAAAATTGCTCATCATCTGCTGAATGAATTCGGTGAGCTTCTTGATTTTGATGGATGATGGGATGAAGAGTTACTACTTAATCATGACTCTGGTGGTGGACCAGCTTTAATGGAAAGAGCAGCATTTCAGCATAAGTGATTGCAGTTCCCGTTTATGTCAACAGTGTTTTGAATTCAGAATGGTAACCAGGTCAGCTAAAAATAAGTACAGGTCATGTTCAACTTATTAAGGAGTGTGGATGGAAAGATTGTTTGGTTGTACTTGATATAGACATCTCATGCCTGTCAATGAACATTGATGCTTTGAAATCTATGTGCTGTCCCATCTCATCACAACAGGTACGTCTTTCCGTAGTCACCTTGTCTATTTAGCTGCTCATAGTCATAGCTTTTTCCAGACATATTGTCTTTCACTTCTTTCACTTCTCCATACTGCATCTCACTCTTCAACTTGCACAATGTCTGTTCTCCTTCCAAGCATGGCAACATATTTATGACAAGCTTTTAATGTGTGAAAACAAGAAAGAATAAGAAGGGTGGACAGGAAGATCCATCAGTAGCTTTAACTTCTTGGAGTTTGTGACGTTTTGTGTTTACACTTAAAAACCTTTAAAATTGTAATATTGCTGAAGATGTAAGGAGAAAGGGGGAAAAAAACATGGGCCTCTAACAATGGTCAGTTAAAAATTCAGCATATTTCTTTGAGGAATCTTATGAAGAGATTAGTTATATCAAGTTCGTGGTCAAAACTTTAGATGCTTGTACTTACCCTCTGACTTAAACTGATTCTCCAACACATTGGTTGGGTCCTTATGGAGACAAATGTTTAACATTTTTCTTGTCTGGTTGGAAAAAAAGGGGAAGGGGGGGTTGGTTTGGCTTTCACTTTTTGGCCATGATCTTCCCTGCAATATGCCATTTCAGTCTGTTGCTTGATAATTTTTCTCTTGGAGTTTTGGAATGAGATTTCAGAAACAGGTGTTTTCTTTTTTCCATCAAAAGGGAAAAGCAGCAAAGAATTGTTTTCTACTTTGATCGGGTAGACAATAAGGGTACAGCTTTGAGAGCACAGAAGTCTGATTTTGAGTTATCACAGTGTGTTAAATTTACAAGCTATAAAGGTAGTCAGAAAATCTTTAAACTTATGTATGAGATTTCAATGAGAGATTTTGTAGTAAATTGTAGTTGCTGTTATCTATTATATCATTTATTCAAGCTTTCATTTGCCATTTATGTCATGAGATGAGATTAGAGAGAGTAGTTATGAGCTGAGATATGAATCATGTAAACAGGATAATATCTGATTTTGTTTTATCATATCGAAATATCTAAGTGACCCCACTAAGTACCCATGTGTGGGAAGTAAATTTGTAAATACATATTTGCAGTGGCTGCAGAGCTTCTTCAGCGTACTTAGTGAGCATCCCGAATTTTGTCAGTCTTGTTTCTTTGGAGCTTTAGGAAAGAGTTCAAGATAGACTTTGTGTGGGACATTTAAGATGAAGTGAAAACGATCCCATTGCACCTCCATATGGCACAAAATGCATAGATGCTGCATTGTACTACTGGGTTAAAACCATAGCATCTAGAAGAGAAGGATCGGAACATTGAGGTTACATCCTAACATTCAATCCTATTATTTGCTCAACCTCCTACTTTACTGCAGAACTAAGTAGAAATTCCTTATTTCATTCTGTCATCAATTGCAGTTGCTTCAATGTATTAGACCATAGAAGAAGCCATGATTGAAACCCAAGTTGAGGAATCCCAATCCGAGAAGAGCACCGGCCCATGAAATCTGAACTTTCTGCTTAAGGATATAACATGCTCCTAGAAAAAGACATTAGAATCAATTTATGAAACTGTTGATTAAGACTCCAATAATCATCTGTTGCTAATTCTTAGGTTTTATGTTCTGAAATAAGTCAGCTTAAGGTGCATGCTACTTGTTGAGAATGAACATAGTTAGAGATGAGTGTCATGTCTGATTTAGGCCTCAAAATTCTTACCTTCATTCTGTGTAATTTCTCGAGATTTTATGAGTGTCATCCTGGGTCCTTTTTGTTTTATTTCATCTGTAAATAATGGTCTTTGAGATTTCAGTCTGCACAGGTTTTGTCTAAACTCTTTTGGTAAGGATTGAGAGGAGACAGACATCTCTTCCTTTCCGCCAACTTCTGTAGCCATCACTTGTTTATGGTACCACTCCAGCTGTGATGCTTGAGCCAAAACACCAAAAATTTCTTGTGAGTTGCTGATACTATTGTCCAAGTCAGTGGGGAAAACTGGTGCTGCTAATCTTTATCGCTGAACTCTGAACAATGTGCTGTTTCTTTTACTGCCTGCACCATGTGTGTTGTGTAGAATTCATCTTCATTATCAAATAATTCTAATCCATCACAGCAAGAAACAGGTGGAGAAAGACTGCTACCATGCTTGTCCTCTGTCAATGAGCCGTCTAGTGAGTCTTCGTGGTGTTTCATTGTCTGGCCTTTTGTTGCATGAGGTGGAGAAATGAAATTAGATCTTGATTCCTCAGCAAATAAATCCTTTAGTGTTGGTGGTTTGCCTACCACCATTTTAGTAATAGACCTTCCATCGACATCTAAAGCAGCCTGTTCTGCTTTTCATTGTGATTTCTTTGCGTTGCAAAGTCATAAGTAGATACCTTCTTGTCGCATGATATATCTGCCTTTCTCTGTCCATTTGACCTATGTTTCTTCTCTGGAATAGGAATGTTTAAAACCCATTTATTCCTTGGTTCAGAATCACTGATACTAGGCTCATCTATATGTAAGTCAAACCATTGATTAACCTTTAAAACTTTTGTGGAGTTGCATTTGTTTGATTTTCTACTTCCATATTTCTCAAGGTAACAAACCCGGGCCGTCCTTTGATGATTTGACGTCACTTGTGATATCTCCTGCTCTTGGAATACAACCATTTTAATGTCACATTCAAATGTGTCTTGACCATATACTGTGTCATTATCTATACTAGTTTTCCTGTTCAATTCCACTGCACATGTAGATCTTGAAATGCTGAGGTCAGAGTTGCACTCTGAATTATTCTTTACTGGGAAAGTCACTGACTTAGCTCGCCAAGATGATTGTCTTCTCCTTGAATGAAGTGGATCTGTCCCCACTAAAGTTTGATGCTTCATCCCAGTTTTTCTTCTGTTGCAAATAGTTGATCTCACAAATCTAGGCAGTTGTGATGGGGAAGCTGTTGTGACATTTTCAATTCTGTTTGTCATAAAGTCAATGTCAGGAGGTTGCTCTTCAGTGGATAAAATAGAAAGCTCCACTTTCTCTTCCAAAGATAGATCTGTCCTTGTCAGTCCTTCTAATTTGCTGTTTAACTTTTTGCTTTCTTCTAATATGTTGACGTTCATCTTCAATCTTCGATCTGTCCTTGTCAGTCCTTCTAATTTGCTGTTTAACTTTTTGCTTTCTTCTAATATGTTAACGTTCATCTTCAATCTTCTCAATCTCCTGCTGCAGATTTTTCATAGCAGTGTCCTTCTGGCTTCTTACTTCCTGATTTTTTATGGATGAAGTGATCACCATAAGTTTATAAGAGCGATTTGTCATGAGATATAAGATTTTGCTAAATCAAATGATGATATGAGGTCCTGAGATGTCAATCATTTCAAACCATCCAGGTAATGCCCATTAACAAGTAAGATTGTTGATATTGAATGTTAATTATTCATTTCTTCCTAGTGAATGGTTATGATGCAGCAGAATCTTGCTGATATTTTGATGGAGTCTTATATTTCTATTCAACAAGTTATCCTAGAAAAAGAAATGTCTAGTCTAATGCAAGCTTCTTCAAATCCATATTATTACCATAAGTTATCTTTGTTTTATTTTCTCTCTCCCTCTTTTTGTTCTTCCTTGTTTTTTGATTCAGTTCTACCAATTATATGCATAATATTTGTTGGCAGTAATCTCTTCATTTTGATCTAGAATTTACTAAAAAGATTATCCTATTTATATGTAACATAGTTTTGGATGTCATTAACAGGTTAATTGTACATCATCAAACTTGGGACTTGAACCATTAGATTGTGAAGTTAGATGAGTGTGCAAAACTAGATAAGTAACTTGCATTGGACTCCTCATGTCCCAAATGAACACTTTTCACCCTTGCTGCAAAATTTAATGAACACATTGTTTCACATAGATCTTCTTTGTGACTGACATGTACAAGCATCAGTGTTTTTGAATCTTCACCTAAAGATAATAAGATGAGAACTGAGAAGGTCAATAAAAGTGAACTAATTTGAGGACAATGAAATGAAAAATATTCTCATGTGCATATCGGATACTCCAACTAATTGAACTCATCGGTTCATATTACTCTGGCTGTTTCTGAGAAAGCCTGGACTTGAATAATTTCCTATAACTGTTAGAATCATGTGAGGAAAGCATCCTAAATGATAACCCTTGAAAGATAAGAATGGACACAATAATTTTTCCAATGTATATAGTGCACAGAGATTAGGTTTAACGATTATTATTCTAACCCTAGAACTCAACTTCTTAGAGAAAACAATTAGATGAACGGAAAATGGAATTCAGTGAAGAAGAATCAGTTACCTAAGGAATCTTTAAGAACTTGTGTCAGCTTGCTGTTCCTTTTAGCTAAAAAGAGTTGGTGATTTAGGGTAAATCTTTCTTAGATCAGGTTGAATCTCAAGCTTGCCTATATGGTATGTGGTTCTTTTTCCTTTGAAGAGCATTTATTACATCACCAAGAGCAGAAAGAGATAAATTAATCGCTTTTCCTTCACCAAGTCTTCTCCCCCATGCCTTTGTCTTTATCACACGCTCACTTACTCTAAGGTCAACTAACCAATTTTTAGTTGTTTCTCGTCACCTCTCAGGAGCATTAAAGAAAGTACTGATATGCGAATCATGCTAAGAGAAGCAACAAGTACAACATACTTAAAGCAAGAAAAATGATGGTATTGCTATTTATTCTGCTGTTCCCAGAGTTAGTGTCAGAAATCAAATGCAGTTTGTCTGCCAGTAATGGTTCTCAAGCTCAAGACCTCTAGAGACTAGAAAGGAGCTGGATAATCTGCACTCTAAATATTAGTCAAAAATCTGATCAGTAAAAACTACGTACCAGTGGGATCTGGTTGAAGTAGTGTTTGAATTTGTTGAGGTAGTTGATCTGAGTTGGCATCCTAATCTATACAAGCTTCAAAGCTTGGTTGAAGTCACTTACTTGGATGGAAACTAGGCTATCAATTCTAATTCCTCCCTCTGCATCTGTTTGAATTGAAAGGCTGCATGCAGACATCACGGCATCCAATCAGCAGGCATTTGCAGTAATGCACTCATCAAACTGTATTTGCATACTCACCATGGTGTCAGAGGATCTGTTGCCCTCATAGGCTGTGGTACAAGTAGGTCTCTGAGATTTCCTAAATAAATCTCAAGCATACTGAAATTTATGAGGAAAGTATGGTTACTATCCACTGCTTGCTTAAACGAAGTCTCAATCATCCGTGGCACTATTCCTGGGGAATCTGAAGTACCTTCCCATATGTTTAGCTAAAAGGTTTAAACCTACTATAGAAGTCCCCGTTACCAGTTATGATAGTATCATCTATTATGCTAGTGGATTGTCATCACCATTGTGAAGGTTTTCCCAGTTCCCGTTTGACCATATGCAAAAATGCATGCATTTTAACCGTCAAGGACAGATTTGATGACTGTTTTAACTTTTGAAAAAACTGCATCTTAAATTTAAAGACATGCAATCCATTGTGAAGACTTGGATGAGCAAAATATTGTTTTAAAGAGATGATGAAATCAAGGAACAGGGAGATTTGCAGGGTACCTTCCGATGAACCTGGGTGGAACACTTTGTTAAGGTTGTATTTCTTTTGTTAGCAGCAAGTTTTAAGAGGAACTGAAAAACCTCTCTTCTTTTAACTAATAAAATTTCTCTAATAAAAGGTGAAAGATAGCCCATATAAATGCATCAAAAGGAACTGTACCAGATTGTAATCATTATTTGAGCCTACAGCTTCTTGACAAAGGACCTACCTTCAACTGCATTGCGTGAAATGAATATATGTTGCCAAGGGCCCTATAACGGTAGAATGATTCATGGTTGCTCATTATTAATTTTATAGTAATATTCCAATGTGTAGAGAGTAAAAGGCTCCTCACTATCATAATGTGGGAGGTGCCATTGATGAGCTAACCAACCTTGACAGTGTGACCCTATCAGGTGTCAAATTCTGTATGTATTGGACCAGTCTTTGGTTGGGTCCTGTCCTGTCTTGTTGAATGGATGGTATAAAAATTTACGTGTGCTGACTAGGCCAACTTTGACAAATCAATTCTTTTCCAACTGAGGCTAATTACTCAAACAACAAGAAATAAAATAATTACTATTTGAGATTCACAAAAATCAAAGCCACTTCCATTAACAATTTGTATTGTACTATGAATATTTGGGGAATGGCCAAGTCAAAATTTCTCGAGGAGAAACAAATAACCCAACCGCTCACAATAGCCATTGGCTGAAACAAAAACAACTTGAAATTCTGCCCACAATAATGAAACTACAATCTGGATTTGATTAACCATTTCTATTTAGGAGAAGTAACCTTGGTGCATCGGGGCTTGGATATATATTTCTTGGACCAGGTATATAAAAATATATAAAAATACAATATTTTAGTAAATGTGACCCAAGTTAAGTAATTTTTAATTTTAATCTCATAAATATTTTCTCATATCGCAAAATTACATTTTGAAATATTCAAGTGAAAACTCATTTTTAATTGTTGACATGCATTCATTTAGATACATACATACATATATATATATATACACTCACGTGAATTAGTATTATGTGCATTGAAAGTAAATCTTTTTATAAATTGAGTTGGATTGAATAAGATTTGATTGATTTTTCAAAAACTTTATTTAAGATTTGGTCTCGTATGTTTGGTATAAAAAACCCAAAAAGAAATTTTAAAAATTATAAAAGTATTACAAATTTTTAATATTTTAAATATATTTTAAAATAAAATAAAATAAAAATATCAATTTTTATTAATTAAATAATATCTTTGACAAAGTCAGATTTGATCTTGAGAAACTTTTTCCAAGACCTTACCTAAGTTGGTTTGAGCCCATCCAATCCAGTTCGGCTTTTGATAAAAACTTAATTAAAGATGAAGTTCTTAATCATTAGTTCGTGCGCTTTATATATAAATAAATATAAATATATATATATATATATAAATTAAACTTCATAACCAAAGTTAAATTATCGTAACGTGTTTATGTAATAATTAATTAATTTATTAATTTTATAAATATATTTTAGTCAAACACGTGTCAACTTACATACATGTACATCTGGCTGTGTTGTTATGATGCATCTGGAGTTGTTTTTTTTTTTTTTTTTTCTCTAGTTTTATCTATACTAGGTTTAAGTCCGTGCATTACACGGATTTATAATTATTTGTAAAAAAATTAATTATAATATAACTAAGAACTTTTATATAAAAATAAAAATTTTGATGTAAAATAAATAAAAAATTAATATTTAATAAAAATAAAATTTTAAGGAGATCTTGTAATAAAATTATTTACCATATTTATATGGAGATATGTATTAAGTACCATAATAATTAGTATAAATTTTATAGAGATAATAAGTTATGATCTCAACTTTATTTTAAATTTTTTTTTTGATAAGTATATTCTTTTACCTATTCTTATATACAAAGAATGCGTTACAATCAAAGTTTAATAATTTTGATTTTCAAAAAACTCTCAAAACTATAAAAAGTATGAACTGTACATGAAACTATTTTTTGCTTATAGTTGATTGTATATTTGTGTTATTTTAATGAAAAAAATTAGATCAATAAAAGATAATTAAACAATAGATCAAGTTTTGGACAATAACATGTTAAAAACCAATAAAGTAGCAATACGCGCAATTCAAGCTAATTAAACCAAGAAAGAAATAGAAACTAACATAGAAAAGAAAAGTAGGATATATAATTGTAATATTAATCAAAACAAAATTGAAGAGAAATGGTAGTTAATTTTACAATTTTGATCCCTTTTGTAATCAAAATAAAATTATTTATATTATTAAATGTAACCATCATCAATGTGATAATGATTTTAATTTCCTCATAATGGAAAGTGATTTATTAATAATTATTTCTAGAATCACAAAGGTAGATTATGCATATAATGAAATATAGATTTTTATATGCTGAAGTTAACTTTATCTCGTGCATCTTATCAGTTTATTCATACCAAAAGAATTGTTTATTTTTTGACACACCATATGACTAAAATTGAGTGCGAGATTAGCAACCAACATACTTGGTTGAGATCACTTTTTGAGCTTGATTTCTAGACTCATGCTTCTTGATATTAATGAAAATTATATTTTTTTCATAAAAATATTGAGTGAATAAAAGAGAAATAATACCAACTACCAAATGTGAAAAAAGGAAAACATATATGAACACAAAAGTAAAAAAAAAAATAATAATAAAATCTTGGTGATCAATATTTAACATTATTGTTAATATAATGAACAATAGTTGAGAAACTAAAAAAATAATGGAACTTGACGAAAATATAACAATGAAAAAAAATCAAAATCAACATAATTCATTGTCATAAAAAATTAATATAATTGTATGAAAAAAATTTACCTAATCTCAAATTGGTATTTTTGGAGAGTAGCCTCCTAACATTGTTATCTTACATGATTCTCTATTTATAATAACAATTATATAGCATCTTATAAATTAATTTAGAGTAATTTATGTGGAGTAATTATAATGGGTTACTAGAGAATACATTTTGAAATAGTAATTATGTTGGTAAATATTTGTGATTGTAATTAATACTTATATAGAAAAAAATATACAAAAAATATGTTTGCAATTAATTAGCCCTTTTATTTTAGGTTTGAGTTCTTAGCATTATATGACATAAATTATTTCTTAATTAAATATTAAAATTATAAATATCAAATAATCAATGCTTTTAAAGTATATTTCTTATTTATAGGATTCATGTTTAGTATTTAAAATTAAGAATTGAATTTATTTGAAAGTGATTTAAGATAATTGAATTATAACGTAATTATAAAAGACAATAATATTTGATACATATATATATAAGAAAATAAATATAGTCAAAATAAATATATTTTAAATTAATAAAATTTATATGAAATCAAATCAAAATAATTAATACAGTACATATGATGATTGTTCAAGATCCTCCATATGTCAAAAGAATAGATTATTTACATTAGATTTTTTTTCTTTTTTGTTAAAAGTTTTGGGTTTTACATATTTATAAGAGATAAAATTTACATGAAAACAAATCAAAATAATAAATGACCGTCCACATGTTAAAAGAATTGATAATCAATATTAGATTTTTTTCTTTTTTCGTTAAAGTCTTGGCTTTTATATATTTATATAAGATTAAAATAATCTAAAAGAAATTCAAATATTGACGGCTGTTTAAATTTATTATGAACTAGATATTTATTAGATTTTTAATTTTGATATTTGAATTCTAATTTTAATTACATGGAAAGTTGTAATGAGACTCAATGGTATTCAATTTATCACTTTTTCATGAAAAATGTTTTTTGTTTATTTTTGATAGTGTGGGTCAAAAAATTTTCAATAGAAATAAAAAATTTATCCACCATTTTTATGGGTGAGATCTTCCAAACGGCCATGTTTGGCTTACCCAAATGAATGCATGCTAATTTTTTCAAAAATAGTTTAATTTTATGTAAAAAATAAAGTAAAATTTTAAAATAAAATTTTAAAGTGATGAGAATTTTATAAAATTCATCAAAGTAGTAATGAAGTCTTAGAAATTTTTAAATTAGAATTAAATAAATTTATAAATAAAATTTTAAGGTTAATAGGTTTTTATTAACCTTACCAAAATATTAAAAAAGTCTTAAAATTTTTTAATATGAAAATTAATTAAATTCATAAATAATAAATAAAAATATATGAAACAAATAAAATTAAAGTAAAAAAATTCATAAAAATGAAATATGGTAAATAGTTAATAATAGATGAAAATATTTATAATTAAAATAAATAATTATTTTACTTACAAAACTTCTTACATTATTTTATACATGTCAATATAGAATATAAAAATAGAGATTAAGATTTTCAAAAAATGAATTTTAAGGAAATATATGATGAGATTAAATAAATAATTACTTTCCGTAAATTTAATTCATATTCATTAATTAAATATTATGAAATATCTAAATACATTAGTTGTACAAATGAGTATACAAGTAAATACATAGACCTACACGCTGAATGTAGAAAACGCATAAACTTTACAACTGAAACCTTAATACACCCATTCTAAACTTGTATAGAGAAGTATGTTCTAAACAAAATATTTGTTGGAAATAATCGTATTCTTAGTGTACACATGTTCGCTGACAACCTTTTCAAATTTCAAAGCAACATGACACCAGGCATTCCACACAAGTTTTTAAAGCTTCACAATGATGATAGTTAATGCTGCCACAAAAGAAGGAAAGGATTAATTTCAGAATACAAAGAAAGCAAAAAACTGAGAAGGAATTTAATGTTTGATAACATTTCAAAGCAACAGCAGTTTGCCAGAGTTACGTAGCAAGCAAGGATCCCCAAAAAATACCCCCTACATCAAATCAAACAAGGTAGTGAGATTCTAGCAGGATTCACAAACACATACTCCCTACCAATTTCAAATAAACAATGGAATCAAGCAGACCCTAAAAACATAGAATAGATAAGCGATATAGCCATATCATATTAATAATTTATACTAGACGTGGAAAGGAGAGTAAGAATTGACCAAATTGTCTATCAAATTCAAGCAGATGACAGTTGCCAAGTTCAACTCATGCATGTCTGTTCTGGTAGCTAGGCTTCACTTAGGTAGCTAATCAAGGAGCAACAACCTAACGTATATATATAACATCCTAGACTCTGTTTGGCCTATAAAAGTCAAAAGATATGTGTTTACTAATAAAGCATCACCTTTTTTCCACGAATGACAGCACTAGGCTCACCCCGGATGACCATATACTTTGTGCCACCAACGTGTAAGCTGTAAGGGCAAGGTGGCCTGGTTCATCAAAATCTTTCATGATGTCAGTGATCTCATTAGCCTTGAACCGCAAACAAAACAAAGGAATTAAATCAGACATCAATCTTACAACCAAATGAATCAGATCAGATCAAACAACGAAAGCATATCTAAATTTCCTTTTCTAATATTAGTTGATACCCATCATGGGCGGCAATATCTGGTCTACACTATCTCAGAAAGCATATCTAAAATGTAAA